GGGCAAAGCATAACGTGCACACTTACCACTTATGTGGATTTTAGAAAGTGGGCAAAGCATAATGTGCACACTTACCAACTATGTGGATTTTAGAAAGTGCGCAAAGCATAACGTGCACACTTACCACTTATGTGGATTTGAGAAAAGTGCGCAAAGCTTAACGTGCTGCAGTTATTTAGAGTTTTCCAAGCATCTGTTACAGATACCCGGAAGTACTGGGCCAAACGGGAGAGGCAAGCTTATGCTTCAGACACGGGTCACGACGAGGCATTCCCCATAGCGACCCCTAGAGGACGCAGTTCGAAGTTCCCATGAAAGGGAAATAACAGCACCACTTCTCTACGTATTCTGTGATGGTCTGTGTTTCGGAGCAGCAAACCGTTTCTCAGCGCGCTGTGTGAAATAGCCTACAGACTTAACGGCGGTTCAAAACCGCTGTATGAGCATATGATACGCAAACTACAGCTCTCGGCTGGATAAAAGAAGCCAGTGTCACACTAGTAGCCTAAATGCTCCAAACAGCATTCTGACAGAGGAACTATTCACTGTGGCGTTGAGCTGCCTTCAGATCGCTGAGTTCAGAATGGTTTCATTTTTAATTTGCATTTTGGTGTGTTTAGTGATTCTGAATGGACCCGTATAGTAGTTTATATGCAGTCCTTTGGCATCTCCCTGTGGTATTGTTTGGTATGGCAGGTTGACTTGTGCTTATAAGTTAAAATTACTGTATAATTGAGCTTTACATATTTTTAAGTTGTATAGAATATCTGCAGTGACATTTTTGCAAGGTATGTTTGCAAAAAAGAACATGGAATATTTAAATCTATCTTGAACCTGTTTAAAAAAAAATACATGTAATTGAAAAGTAATAACAAATACAAAGGTTTTAGTGAATAGAAAAGTTTGGGCTTGCAGTATTGATTTGGAGAGAAGGGGCTCTTGGAGTAAAAAAGGTTGAGAACCACTGCTTTAGGTAAATGTAGGCACAGTTCTACGGGGGTACTAAGAATTTAACATTATTTCATTATTATAATTTTTTTATTAAAAATTAAATGAATGCAATATAAAGATACATCCCAACAAGCTTTTTTATTTATTTATTTTATATGTATTTTATTATTTATTTATTGTTCACTTGGTAGATCTTGGTGAGTTTCTCATTTGAAAAGTAGATCCCCCACACAAAAAAAGTGTGGGCACCCCTGGTCTGGAATATGCAGACACAGACAAGCGCAGTAATACAAATACTGAAATGCCCCTTTCACCTTGTTTAATGTCCGTCCCACAAAAAGTACTTTGTATGTAACAAAAACTAACATAATAAAAGGTAACACTTTATTTTAAGGTGTCCTTGCTACACGTTACATTTACTTATTATTATATAATAACAATATATTATGCATAATTACATGCAAGTAACCCGAATCCTAACCCTAACCATATAGTTGCTCTTCGCCCAAACAAACAACACATACAGTAGATCGTGTATGTCATCTGGTGTCAAATAGTGATGACACGGACGCACACACCTTCTAAATGCTCTGCTAGTGCTCGCCATAATGAAAGAGATAGCTCTTACTTTTTCCTTGGAATGCATGCTTCAAACAGAACAGTCAATGAAGACGAAGAAGAGAATGATGTGTGCTCCCGGCGCCTATTTATACTATAGTCGCACCGGTAGTGACGTCATGGCTGTCGCCGGCCAACGAGTTGGTGTTTTTTCAATGTATGCTTCAGACACGGGTCACGACGAGGCATTCCCCATAGCGACCCCTAGAGGACGCAGTTCGAAGTTCCCATGAAAGGGAAATAACAGCACCACTTCTCTACGTATTCTGTGATGGTCTGTGTTTCGGAGCAGCAAACCGTTTCTCAGCGCGCTGTGTGAAATAGCCTACAGACTTAACGGCGGTTCAAAACCGCTGTATGAGCATATGATACGCAAACTACAGCTCTCGGCTGGATAAAAGAAGCCAGTGTCACACTAGTAGCCTAAATGCTCCAAACAGCATTCTGACAGAGGAACTATTCACTGTGGCGTTGAGCTGCCTTCAGATCGCTGAGTTCAGAATGGTTTCATTTTTAATTTGCATTTTGGTGTGTTTAGTGATTCTGAATGGACCCGTATAGTAGTTTATATGCAGTCCTTTGGCATCTCCCTGTGGTATTGTTTGGTATGGCAGGGTGACTTGTGCTTATAAGTTAAAATTACTGTATAATTGAGCTTTACATGCTTTTAAGTTGTATAGAATATCTGCAGTGACATTTTTGCAAAGTATGTTTTCAAAAAAGAACATGGAATATTTAAATTTATCTTTTGTTAAAAAAAATACATGTAATTGAAAAGTAATAACAAATACAAAGGTTTTAGTGAATAGAAAAGTTTGGGCTTGCAGTATTGATTTGGAGAGAAGGGGGTCTTGGAGTAAAAAAGGTTGAGAACCACTGCTTTAGGTAAATGTAGGCACAGTTCTACGGGGGTACTAAGAATTTAACATTATTTCATTATTATAATTTTTTTATTAAAAATTAAATGAATGCAATATAAAGATACATCCCAACAAGCTTTTTTATTTATTTATTTTATATGTATTTTATTATTTATTTATTGTTCACTTGGTAGATCTTGGTGAGTTTCTCATTTGAAAAGTAGATCCCCCACACAAAAAAAGTGTGGGCACCCCTGGTCTGGAATATGCAGACACAGACAAGCGCAGTAATACAAATACTGAAATGCCCCTTTCACCTTGTTTAATGTCCGTCCCACAAAAAGTACTTTGTATGTAACAAAAACTAACATAATAAAAGGTAACACTTTATTTTAAGGTGTCCTTGCTACACGTTACATTTACTTATTATTATATAATAACAATATATTATGCATAATTACATGCAAGTAACCCGAATCCTAACCCTAACCATATAGTAAGTACATGTAGTTCATTAATATTACTCAGTACTTAAATGTAATTACACTGTAACAAGGACACCTTAAAATAAAGTGTAACCCAATAAATCTATATATAACAATAAATATCTTACACAAAATAATTACCACTCATTGCTGAAAGAGAAAAAAAAAATTCAAATCCACATGAATTAAAATGAACCTATAAATGCAACACTAAATATAATAAACAGACAATCCAAAGATGTGAAATATTTAACAAGAGCTGAGAGTTTCTATACTACCACCTCCATCTATGTACCTCCATATTAAAACAAATGCTTTCATAAAGACAATGCAATTGTGTCACGCTCTCAGATGCTTTTAACATCAACATTGTAGCTAACACTTTCAGGCACTTAAATGAAGACATAAAAAAGCAAATGTGCCACATTAAATAAGGTCCACACTTGCAAACTGCACCAGAAGTTTGTCAGAGTGGATTGAATCAAAGCAGTGCACACTCTGCTCAAAACAAGATTGCCCAATGGACTAAACCCATGGGACCACAGGTTTGTTATTGTTTCATGTTGTCTAGTATACTTGGACTTGTTCATGTAGAGTGGTTTTGAAAGGAATTCCCACAGGACGTTGTGTATATACACATGTATTTAAAGGTGAGGAAAAGTGTGTGTGCTTCGATTTGACCCACATCTGTGTGTGTTTGTGTGCTTCTCACATACCTAACAGGACTGTTGCCTACATCTAGGTCCTCAGCTGTGACGGCTCCGACAATGATGCCCACTGGTGTGTCCTCGTATGTCTCCATTCTATAAGACAGCCGGCTGAAGACAGGAGGTTCCTCCACATCCAGAACATTCACTTTCACTATGGCAGTGTCCTTAAAAGGTCCCAAATGTAGGAATCGATGATCAAGAGCTGCGTTTGAAGCTTCTACTTTAAAGGTGTAGGCCTTTCTGGTCTCATAGTCCAGACGCTGTAAGATGAATAAGGAGACATCATCAGTCACTCTGTTTTATTGTCATTTGTTGCAGCAGAGAGGAAGTGATGTCAAATTGTTTGTGGCTTTATATTGTCAAAGAATAACAAAACACCACCAACTTTATTCGGGTCATAAAACTTGTGATCTAAGTAAAAATGCTTTACACAAAGAGGGCTCATGCAGAGATCAGAAGCGAGGGGAACGGAAAGGAAAGGCTGCCGCTCACTCAACCCTGGAATCACAGGAGGGAGAATAAAGGAAGAGAAGAAGAAAGCAGGGAGAAAAGGCTTTGGCCAGTGGCTCTTGCATCACTGTGCTCATTCAGCCATATAAAGGCAGAATTTGGCATAGTCACACCTGAAAAGCAAAGAGTTGTGGCAGCTAAGCTCAACCGAACAGACTGCAGATTTCAGAACTTCAGCAACAGCATTCAATTCACTTTAATCCATGCTGATATTAAAAAATGCTAATAACTAATGATAAAAAAAACCTATACATAAGATATCTTCTATTGCATATAAATTAGGGCTGTCAATCGCTTACAACATTTAATCATGATTAATCGCATGAGTGTCATGAGTTAACTCGTGATTAATCACAATTTAATTGCACATTTTTATCTGTTCTAAATGTACCTTAAATTAATACTTTTCAAGTTTTTAATATTCTATTCAACATGGGCATGGACAAATATGGATGCTTTATGCAAATGTATGTTTAATATTAGTGAAACCATACACTCTAAAAAATCCTGGGTTATTTTTTTTTTAACCCAAATGCTGGGTTGCTGGCATTTGTTTGGGTTATTTTTTCAGTGTTTGGGTAGTTTTTGTGTTACCCAGCTCCTGGGTCAAATGTAACAACCCAGTGTTTGGGTTGTTTTGCAGCTCCTGGGTCAGACATAACAACCCAATGTTTGGGTAGATTTGTGTTACTCATATCCTGGGTCAGACGTAACCCAGTGGTTGAGTTATTTATCGCGGGGATTTTGCGTCTTCTCTTCACGAGAGAGCAGTTCTAAGCGCCATTGAATTGATGCATTCTTCGGTAAAATACAGGTTTGTGTACATTTAATTTTATCTATAAAATCGTTACTGTGCTGTATATCGTTCAATTTTATGCAGAGCAACATACAGGCGCACGGTGTGAATCAGTAGACCGCGGAGTGTTGCGGTCTTTTCACGTGATGGAAAAGCCTGATGCTTTGCATTTAATAAACGATTTTATTCATAAAGATACAGAATATAATACTTTGGATGTTAAAACATGTCCTCAGGTGATTATTGTTTGTTTGTTGGCAGGTTATGGAGTCACAGCATGTTTCGGCTAGAGTGAAACGCAGGGCGGCGGTCCGTTAGCAGTTCCCCGCCGAACACGACTCCAGCGCCGTTACGGTGGAAACAGAATAACAGAGACTGGTCGATCACACATGAATTACTTCTGTTTAATGTTGAATTTCTTCTAATGTTTGTTAAATGAGTTTAAATATAGGCAATAGGTATATCCTATTAAAGTTTTTCTCAGTCGCTTTGGAGCATTTCTCAAATCATCCTTAATATTTGCAAAAAAGTATGTGCATTTCTCAAAACAATTCGTACAAACAGCACCACACAATGGATTAGCTGCAAAAGCCTGTAACTTATTCAAAATCTTTAGTTCATCTCTCAAAAGTGTGTGTGAGTGCTGAGTGGAGGGTAGTGGCGATGGTGTCATCGGTCGAGCGGTTGGACCGATATGCAAACTGGAAGGGGTCCAGGGAGGGGGGGAGGGCAGACTTGTTATGGGGCATGACTAGCCGTTCAAAGCACTTCATGAGGATGGGGGTAAGTGCAACTGGACTTTAGCCATTGAAGCAGGATGGAGACGACTTCTTTGGGACTGGAATGATGACCACTAGTGGTCTGACCAAGAAAAAAACACACATTACAATGTCATTGTGATATAGAAAAGGAAAAAAAAATATAGGCACAAAGATGAAAAAAAAAAATAGAAAGTCCATTGTCAGAATTTGTAACTCTTGTGTTGTCCTCTGTCTATACAGTATATGCTTTCCAACTGAAGATTCATGAGATGCACCTTTGAGCTATTTCAGAGAACTGGTTTATCATTGGTTGATCTACATTCTCTTCATTAGTGAAAGTCAAGATGCACTTGCACAATTCATGCCAAATTTACAAAAAGTCTAATAATAATGTGTAAAAAATGTGCTTGACAGTTTATGACAACTAGATGAACTATTTTGCATTTAATGACTTATACGATGAACTAAAGACTATATGTTTTGAGGGGTAAGACTATTGCACAGAAAACTATATAATACATTTTGAGCAACATTACATTAGCAACTGATAATGTAGGAAACCGCAGATAAATGTACATAATCAATTGCATGAATGTACCAAAGCAATCGCAACTTGTTTAAAAGAATGAGAAACTGCTTTTTTGATGTGTACAAATGACTAGACGATGTGGAGGTTGAACAAGTAGTTTTGATAATTTCATTTATGTTTTGAGGAATGCACCAAAACGACTGAGAAAAACTGTAAAGACGATATAAACAATGATGAATGTAAATGATGAATAAAGGAAAATAAAGGAAGTTAGCGTGCAAACCAGTGGTTGTGTGGAGTATTTTAGAAAAGTTTAGATGATTTACCCAGCACTTGGGTTAATAACAACCCAAATTGGATTGTTTTTAACCCAGTGTTTTTTAGAGTTTACTCAACATAGAGCATGGGGACTAGACATGTTTCAAAGGTCATAGATGTTTTTTCAAAGAACTTGTTCGTGTGTATTAGACACATGAAAAAAAAAACAGAAATACCAGGTGTT